TACAGCCGTTGGAAGCATCTGTATGTTTTAGTACAAACCTTGTTCTATGTCACATTGATACAATTAAATTAATATAATCAGTAGAGCTACACTACCCTGGCAGAGTTTAGTCCACTGCTAGCATTGACAATCAAGCAATGAAGGTTTTACTAATTGTTTACAAATACCAGCTTAAAATCAGTCCAACAGCTCCAAAGTTTGGTTGGTTTTTCCAGTGCAACTTGTATGGATGCACCTACAGTAGCTTTTTACTAGTAGTGCAGTACTAGGAACTGCTTTATCCTGCTTTGTTGGCTTTGATCCCAAAGCCCCAACATTTAACCTGTTGTGAGCTTAGTCATCCTGCTTCTCCCTTTGTGGGTGATGCCCTTCCTCAATGCAAGTCATCTCAAATTAAATGGCAACTTCTTTTCTGGACAGGAGAGGTGGGCTGGCCTCATAGGCGTTTGCATCAGCTTTGCAAACAGAAAGATGAACTTCACTCACCACCTGCCACATTAAATCCTTATCAAAGCAAAGACTGTTAGATGAGACCCTTTTATTAAGACTAGAAATTCTTTTGGGAGCACAGTCACAAATGCCCTGACATATGCAAATGTATGTCATTTCACCTGATGAGACAGCTAACACTCAGATGGTACAGAAGCACCTTGTCTAGGCTAGATAAAAGCCAATGAATAGCAGGCGTGCCTTCTCCCTGTGCTTGAAGACTTCAGTGTCTTGAGGAGAGCAGTGCATGTTATCGTGGCTAAAAACACATTCAGTTCCTTGCTTGTTGATCCGAGTATCTGTATCTACATGGAACTGAAGCATACAAGCTCTCTCTCCTCTGAACAGCACCTTATTCTGCTTATTTGGTGATACTAATTGATGGGTCACAGAATGGGGTATTTAGTTAATTAAGACATGGCAACACATCAGCTGGAGAAAAAGCAGAAGGCATTCCATACCACAGAAAATATCTTAATGGTAAAGTACAACTGAACATGCCTGATGAATTTCTGGTCACTCCAGAGTATCATCATCTCAACCAATCACAAAAAAAAAGGATTGATTTTTGTTACTACATCTCTTCATATCCTTGCTGAACAACTCACTGACTTTGGAATACAAGACAGCAGGAAAAGAGAAGTTCAGTATGTACAGTATTTTTTTCTTAAAAGCAGGAATGAATACAGACAGACACCACTTGCAAAGCAAGGTGAAGAAAGCAGAAGATGGGTATTGGGCTGTTAGTGATGAAACAGCCTCCTCTTTTCCAGGAAAATATCTAGATATTGTACACCATGGTGAGAAAGAAGCTCAAGCACAAACAGGACAGTAAATCTATACAACACTGGCAAAGTTCAGTTCAGACTACTGCATTTGAAATACTTGAATGCAACGTCATCCACAGTCTCAAATTGTGTTTTCTAATTTGGGTTATTAACAAAATGAGGCAGAAACTGTCATCACGTGTTTATAAAGTAGCCAGTGCTCCCAGGAATCCAGACTTATTTGGGACACTGGATATAACTAAAAGTTTAAAAGAGAGAAAGAGTCTACTAAAACCCACTAGTTTTCAACATGATACACAGATCAGACCAAATTCAATCCTGCATATGTACATATTAATTATACCTATTACACATCTCAACACAACAGCAGTTGTAGACATGAAACCAAGAGCTAGATTTGATCCACTGTAGTATTTGCTCAGTGCAATGAACTCTTGGACCTAGAACATTTCCTACATGGCCATGAAAGTTCAAATGTTAAACCTCTGTTGTGACTCTCCATCACAACTCTTCTTTGGTGAACAATTTGAAACCCCTTTTGAGTTCTGGGGTGTCCATCAAGAGGTGGTGATATGGTCCAAGGAGGAAAGGAGCTTGAGTACAGACAGACAAGGTGCAAGGCATTAGAAATACACGCAAGACCAAGTTAAATAAACTACTTAAATACGAGATGCTAATTTAGCAGTTTCCAAAGGGCAATATTTCTACAGACAACCCAACACACAAAAAAACCCAAAGATTTCTTTAAAAAAACCCCTAACCTAACTGTTTTGAATGTTACATGTATTCAAACACACACCACCCAGCTCCCAATTAGCTGCTTTCTCACTCCAAATGCAGCAGGTCTGCAGTGCATAGAAACGTAATTATTTACACACCACTCGATCACTGCCATTACTGTCTGTGCTTCTAAAGCATCTTGATTACTCTACTGATGAGCACCATGGAAGTGCCTATAAATAAAATAATCACCTCCCCTCATTAAGTTACAGCTCATATTCTGAGGAAGGATGATTTTCCTTTGTACATTCCTTTTGTAAATTTTATCATTTCACAACAGAGGGAGTAAGTGCCTCTGATGACACCCAAGGAGACAGACTGTCAGGATCCTTGTCAGTGTTTCAGCTTTCAGCAGCTTGCTTTTTTGCATGAATATTTTCTCCTGAAAATGAAGTACTGTTTGTCAGAATTAGGCATTCAGAAATCTTTCTAATGTCAGAATCAGACATGCAAAAACCTCTAACATCATGTCAGAAGGTCAGATTTTACAGAGCAGTATGTCATGGAAACCCTACACCCACAGCAGAAGCTTCTAGCTCTAGCTTCAACACTAAGAACACACATAGGTGGACAATTTCAAATAAATTTAGATTAAAAAAACATTGAAGGAAACCTTCCAATAAAAACAAAGCCTTGGTGAGCCAGGTTTCCTCTTCAGGAAGCTTCAACAGTAATTGATGCCGCAAAGATTGAACATTCCATTATTTTCAAATCACAAAACTCTTTTTTCAGTAACTGCAACACCACATGTACATTTATGTACAGTGAAACCCCCAGTGGTGTCTCTAACAGGCAGTGAAATATCATATTTTGTAAAAAAGGTGAATAATAAATTGAGCAAAACAAGTTAAGTGTGATACCTTTACTCAGACTTTACTGAAATCACATTTGGCAACAAAAATTGATGGTGAAGTTGTCAGGTTGCCCCAGTCAAAATGGTGCTGAATTAAAGCACCAGTCACTGTACAGCTACCAGAGCCTGACATGAGAAAAACAGGGCTGCCTTTTATTTTTTGATTCAAGAAGAGTTATGTATGGTGTCTGCTATGGACAACAGTTTGCAGCAG